GATCATTGAGGGGACACATATGTGCTCATCTGCTCTGTAGAAGAAAATAGAAATCAGACTTTTAATTCTTGAAGGATCATTTCCTAGAGCCACAGTGTTGTTCATTCGTACCCCAGTTACTTTGGGTCACTTGGTGTCTCCTGACACAGGAGTGCTGGCTGCCTGCTACCGAGGTAGTAGCAAGGGGACACATACACAACCAAAAAAACAGAGGGGAAAAAAATCCCCCCAGACAAATGGCTGATTGTCTCCTGAATCACTTAGAGCTGTGGTGTTTCCAAACAGCTTCCAAAGGCTGGGGGGTATATCTGGTAACTCGTAAGGATCCTAAAGCGCTCTAAGACTCTGTGATATGTGATACTCAAAGTGAGCAGAACAACTAGTTTGTAGTGGTTTGCTTGTTCACAGAGTAAAGAACCGGCTTAATGTTAAAGTTACCCGTTCTCAGGCTGCAACGTAATGGGATATCATATCTCATCTCTTGCTGAATAGTCAGCCCTTGGGGCATCTCTCTCTGATCTACCTCTTACACCTGCCTTTTAGACAGCTTCATTTCTACTTCAAACATGTCTCAAGTTAATTAGGTTCTTGAACATGTGATACTCTTTAAATACCTACATTAATGCTGATGCTGTATACTGTAAACAGTCTTAGAATCTGTAGCTCCTAACATGTGTATGGACTGAGGTCAGCTCAGGCTGTTTGAGGATTAATTTCACTCACTAACCTTCAGCTCTATTCTGTAGAAGTTCAGAAATAGTTTAGGTCTTGAGTTCCCTGCAAAGATGAATTTGGAGATGGGAGCCTTGCCCACAAGGCTTTCTGGATCTCTGCCTATGTCCCAATCCACTTCATGACTTGGGTTTAAGTGACTTCATAAATTATCTTTCTGATTTTTCTGCCTTGTGCTCTGCAGATAGAATAGCAGAAGTGAGTCAGGCTTTTCTAGTTAAAACTCTGCCCACACCCCCAGCTAGTTACGGGTGTGTACCCTTTCATAGCAAACTTAAATTCAGGCTGACAGAATTTTTTTTCCCCTGAAGATGGGGAACTCTTCCTGCAGTTTGTCTCCCTCAGGCTCTTCTGAGCAACATTTATTTAGTCAGAGAAGCAGGGTTGCCATTCTGTTGTCCTGTCTCCCCAGTCAGCATTTCCAGAAGAAAGACTGAGAAGAGGGTTGGGCTAGCAAAGAAGCTACTATCATCCTCTGTTTTGGTGATTTCTGCTTGCCCCTTTTCCTTTGTTTCCCCAAAGATCTCCCCAGCAGAAAGATACACCAGCTTCCTATAGTCTGATTTGAGCCTGTAGGCAGGATCATGGGGTGAATTTTGAGGTCCTAGATTGGCCATCTCTGCCCCCTATTTTGCTGAAGTTGTATCTAGGGCTGCAAGCATCAGTTCGATGTTCTGGGTGATGTGTCAGAAACCTCATCATTAGTACTGAAGGAGCTCAAAGATCTGAGGTCCTCCTGTTGGTTCTGAACATGACAAGTCACTCTTGGCCTCTTGACCTGTTTCTTGGGTATTGCTATAAGCCTCTGAAGGTGCTTTTATGTCTCTGTTGAGTGCTGTGGTAAGAATTGCCCTTGGAGAACAGTGAAGTCTGCTCTAGGATTTTGTTGTCCTTCAAAACCAAAAGGTACTAGGTTGACCACAGCTGGGACTGATTGTTTACTAGCATGGTTAGAATTTGACTTTATGTATGTATACCTCTGTATTTTGGGCTAGGCAAGTGTGGATTTTTTGAGTTTTGTGTATGTTTTTTTATTTAAATAGAATCATAGAATGGCATAATGTATACTAAAATGATTTGAAGGAATTTATTGAATAGGAGCTTATTTTTCTTCCAATGAATGATATTGCTTCAGCTCAGTATTTGGTGACAGGATTTTTTGCTTGTGATTAGCTTATTCTTTCTCTCTTTGTTTTTGTTCAGAGTTTTAGCACCGTTATTGAAACTTTGATCCAAAACCAGAATATTTCCATTCTAAACAAATAGGAGAATCTCACAGCTTGGTTGAAGCCAATGAATACTGCTTTTCATCATTTCCTGTTTTCTAGCTCAAGAAATTGAGTGTTGCTGTTAGTGGGTTGAGGATTTTTTTTTTTTGCCTTACAGTAGAGAAAACAAAGTGGTTTTGCCTTGTGCAATTTGGAGGGAATCCGCCAAAAGGCAACTTTTGAAGAGAGACACATTCGTTTCTTTCTTGCTGTCAATACAAAGATCAAGTACTTGGGGTTTGTCTTTTCTAAACCTCTGAAACTTTTACTTCAACAAATTTCTCTCTGTTATTAGATGAACTTTCTAAATATTGTCTGTGTTACCTGTGAGCAGAGGCAGTCGGTGTCCATGTCCAGTATTGCATTCCAACTCTCTGAAGGAGCACGTGGATATGGCTCACAGAACAATCTGAAACTTCTTCAGTGTTTTTTCTTTACTTAAAAAAAAATAAAGTGATGATGCTCCCAGCTGTGAACTAGACACCTTCTAGAAATAGCAATGAAGGCTAGATTTCCTTCTGGAAGGAGAAGTAAGCTAATTTCCTATAACAAAGACTGGCTGGTGTTAGAATGTGTATATTTATGGGATATTATCTTTCTTAGATTGGTGTCTCTCAGTCTAGTCCTGGTCAGTACTCTGGGACAGGATGTAGTCTATCCTATCTCTTCAGTGTATGTTAACCTAAATAAAGTAGAATCGTATCATTTTGGTGGCATGTTAAGTCTTTGTATCCACAAGGAAAATTAGTTCAAGCCTTAGTCTGGAAAGTTGACACTTTCAAAGGTTTGGATTTTTGTTTTGTTTTTTCCTAAAGGAGGATACTTTAAATGCCTTAGGTGTTTTCTTCAAATCAGCATGAAAGAAAGGAATTGGTGCACATGAGGCGGTAGGATGGTTAGTGGTGCATGTCAATTTACAGGATCAAATGCTGAAGTTCACTGATCCTGTGATTCTGATTTTTTTTTTCTAGTGTGTCACCAGACCATCAACACTGCCTGATCTAAGCTGTATCTGATTTGTTTGCATTTGTCAGGAAAAAAAGGATACTTAAGGATCCTTTCCAGACCTAGTGTAATTCAGTAATGGAAAGCTGAATCTTGCTGTGGAATGGTGATGAGAAAAACAAGTATTAGGAAAAAAAACTTCACACTTTCCAAGACTTCAGCCAGACTTTTGTCTTCAATAGAGAGGAAGCAGGCAGACTCTGCAATCAACTGGCTGGAGTAGGAAAAATCAACTTACTGTTCCAATTTTATATTTACTAATTTCTCAGACAAGAGCCTGCTAGAAGGTTTCCTTGTGTTTGCTCTGTGTTGTATTTGGTATCACTACAGTTATGCATGTAATGCTAATTCAGTTTGGGTAGGAACTTTTGAGATTTTTAGTCTCCTCAAGGGTAGAGAGGTCTCTGCAAGCATTCTTGTATAAAACTGTTGCTTAAGTTGTGTACAGAGTCTTATGGTGATGACATTATGAAGCCCTTTCACCCCTAGTTTCTATCAAAGTATATATATCTTGTGAACTGGAGTATTTTCTATTACTTTGCATGGCTTTCAAGCCTATGGATTTGCAAATAATCTAGTAGAGATGTTTTCAGTTTACTGTAGCTGAGCTGTGGAGGGCAAAGGGAAGATTAGATAATGAGGGGGATCCTCCATTTGTTTTGTGCAGTACCTCGGCTGCATTATTTTTTTCATTTTTTTAAATCCTTTTATACATGTCATCTTTGCTTTGTTTTGCAGATTCTGTGTTTTTCCCTATGAAAGTGAGACATGTCTTGCCCCTATGGGAGACTGTTTCCTGATAATGGCGTGTCTGGTTTTTGTTTTTTTTATTTGCATGATCTGCAGCTCTGAAGAGGATTTCAGTCTCGTGACCCACAGTATTTGGTCTCCTGAAGAAAGTACAGCCTACTCTGCCGTCACCTTCACCAGAGAACATGGAGAAGTTGATATCGGAAAGGCCTGTTTCTGTGACTAAGGTACTCATTGGTCTTTAGGGAATACTGTTTGCCAGACATTCTGCTACCAGAATTTGGGAAAGCCCTATCTGTTTTTAGAGGTATTGGGGTTTTGTTTTGTTTTGTTTTTCTGGTTTATTGTGAATGTGGGCGGTATTGAAACCAGTGGCCTTTCTGAAAGAGTTCTCTTTCATGACACAAGTAGCAATGCAGTCTTTTGGCACTATTTTCTATTTAGCCACCAAGTAGTCTTACTCTGTTACTCTCCGCTTAGAATTCGGAGGTTTTATTTGAGAGCTGGGGGGTTTTTATTTGGTTGTTTTTTGGTTTTTTTTTTGGTGTGGGAGGGATTAGTCTGAAACATACTGTTTTCTCTCCCCTAATACCTAGATCTTAAATATAGTGACAGGATCTTTTGTAGTCACTGACACAACCTGTTCTTGTGTGTTAAAAGCTACTTGCTGCCATTACCCCTTTTGGCTTCTAGGCAATACTGCTCACTTGAAAATTGCCACCAGGGTAGTTTCTTTTCAGGCTTCCCTACAAAGAGCTGCGTGCTGAAACATTAGACTGGAAATAGATATGTTGGTGAAGGGATAGAAACAAGAATAAGGAGTCCTTATTAGTGACATGGTTTTTAGCTACTGGGGGCAGTGAGAGGCAGGGGAAGCAACTGATGTGAATGGGTTTTCCATGGTGTGGAACTTGGATAACTTGGAAAGCCTCAAAAGATGCTCTGACCTCATTACAGGAGGGCATATAGGAAAAACTTCACAGAAAGAGTTGTTAAGCACTGGAATAGGCTGCTTAGGGAGGTGATGGGGTCACCGTCCCTGGAGGTTTTTAAAAGGCTTGTAGATGAGGTGCTTAGGGACATGGGTTCGTGGAGGGCTTGGCAGTATTGGGTTAATGGTTGGACTCTATAACTGAAATGGTTCTATGAATCACTTTCTATTGTTTGTTGTTGAGGTTCTTTTTCCTTTTCCCTTCTCACTCCCCCAAGGGTGAACTACCTATGCTTTCTTTCTAGGAGAAGCCAGATACGAACTCATGCCCTCATGCACCTGGGAAATGTTTTCTCCCTGGTGGGATGGACAATGAGAATTGCAAAACTAATGAGAAGGAAATGGAATGGATCCGCCCCGATACCCCTAGCAAATGCACGTGGAAGCTTGGGAAGCCCCCTTCTGCCTCCCCTCATCGTCATGCCACTCTGTAAGTATTTCTTTTATTCATGATTTTCAGTACAACACTAATCTAGGTCCCATCAGAGCCATGTGGATTTACCAAAAGAAGCCTGATTTAAATTGATGCTGTTTAACGTGTAGATATGCTGGTGCTTCTTAATTTTATATAAGCAAAGCTAAGAGCCCAAATTAAGCATACAAGGGACTTTGCACCAAAGATGTGAAACTATATGGACTGGAACTAACTTAAGTAACCTAGCAAGCAGTTCCCTGACTAGATGAAAGATTACACTGTTAATGGCTTTTGTTTCTAAAATAGCTGACTCTGAACAGTGCTAAAGTTACTTCATGCCAGGAGAGCACTTGATTCTTGCCTCAGCACTTGATGTCTGACTAATTCTTGTTCTGGAGCAAGGACTTGATGTTTTGTGTTTTATTTTTTATTATTATTTTTCTTAATATCTAAAATAACTAGCCTGATAATGGACAGGGAGAAAGCTGGTTGAAATTTAGCAATGGAAATGCTATGTTGCTTTTGTGACCTGCCTGTGGCCCCTTCTGTGAATACACTGACTCTTTTTTTGTATGGGTACCAGGCCAGAACCTCTGAAAATCCTGCCAAGCATCCTGAATAAAGTTGGCAATACACCCTTGGTGCGGATCAACAAGATCGGGAAGCAGTATGGGCTCAAGTGTGAACTCTGTAAGTACTGATGCGGGCAGAAAATCAAAATAAGAAACACTTATGTACCAGAAAATTGGGTAGTCCTGGTTAAGTAGTGTCATGTAGCTGGAGCATAGTGACCCTCCAGAAAATGGTGAAAAAAGTTCTTCTTGTTCTTTGGCAGATTTTCAGGTTGATAAGATTTGATCATCTAAAACATCTTTCAATTTTACTTTGTGAGGATATTTCCTGCGAATTTTCCATTTTTGTAAAGAAAGTAAACCTTTTCTTCATAGAAAATACTAATTTTTATTTTTTTAAATTTATAGTTGTGTGAATTCTTTGGCTGCTTCTCCTGTTCAGAGTATTCATCAGTGTGTGTAAAATGTATCTGCATTTACCACTAAGGGTGACTGGAAATGATGAAAGGGATGAAACAGTGAATTTTTGTTTGAAGTCGGTGAATTTTTGTTTGTTTGTTTTTAAACCCACCCATAGTGGAGATATCTGGAGACTCTGATCAGCATTCTGAAAGGTGATGTTTACCACCATTGAATGGATTAGTGCTGGGAGTTCTGAAGTGAAAGTGTAGGCTGAACAAGGGGAGAAATTCCTGTTTTGATCAGAAACTCTGGTTGGAGAGTATAGCAGGGAAAAGAAATGACAGGTTGGTAGAGTTCTCTTCCCCTGTGCTGATTCACTGGTACGCCATTGGGCCTTTTTATACTAATGACTAGGCTGTAATAAAAAGGTAAAAGGAGAGATCATATTTTGAGGAGACTGACAAGAGTATTGGTTCCTGGCTTCTATGGCTGGCATCAAGTACCAAACTTGATGCAGTGCTGTGACTCGTTACAGTGGAGATGCTGTGAACCGAGTGTCTGTTTCTGATGTTGTAAAGGAGGGAGGTGAGCTGGGCAGACATGTTTGCAGAGTTGTCCTTGCAGGTATGTTGGGGATCAGCAGCCTGTTTAGCAATTGACTGCTGTTTAAGAACTCTGCTTGATTTCTTTGTTTCCAGTGGCAAAATGCGAATTCTTCAATGCTGGGGGCAGTGTAAAGGACCGCATCAGCCTGAGGATGGTAGAGGATGCCGAGAAGGCTGGGATCTTGAAACCTGGGGACACAATCATAGAACCAACCTCTGGAAACACAGGTACTGAATGGAAAGACTCTGGCAAAGTGTACGTGTGTGCATGTGCATGTGAGAAAAGTACTGTGGTGATTTTCCTGGAAGAGGCAAACTTGAGATTGGAGCATGGAGGCTGCCTGTGCAAGGAAGAAAGGGAATCTCTTCTTGCCTGCATGTTGTAGGGAGCCGTGCTGCTTTTATCTTGCGCAAGGACCAATTCTGCAGTGTCCTGTGCTGACCAGAACAGCTGGGAAGGAGGTCTGCTAAATTTGCAGAGACTCTTTGCTTTAAAAGAAGTGTTGGGCCAGATTCACTAAGGTCTTTAGGTGCTATTCAGGAACTGAAGTCTCACTGAAATTATTGGAAATCAATCACCAAAAGGCTAGTGTGAATCTGGATTTTTCCCTTCTGTCTGGCAAGTCATGTGGTCCTTGTTCCTATGCTCTGCCAAGTGAGGTGGTCTTGGTTTGGGAAAGAGCCTTTCCCGTGTGATGCAGCTGAGGTTAGGAGATAAGCTGCATCCTATAGTACTGTCTACTAACACAGCTCTTGCATGCCTGCATTTTTCAACATATTCAACTCACATCAGCATCTCTTCCTTGGAGGGCTGGAGGTGGGAATAGTCCTGCTAGTCAGGGGCCAGGGCAGAGCATCTGATAATCCAAGCAGACTGGAGTTAACTCAGGGGTCCTGTGTCACAGCTGTTGTACTTGTCAAGCTGCTCTCTACTGGTGGGAAGGAGTAGACATACCTGAAATGTTCCCCCTTGGGCTAGTTAAATATAAAATATACTGCCTTCTCTGAGGAGGTTCCTAAGCTGAGTGACAAGCCACTTCCCTACCTGATGTGTTCTGGAGAGGTTTCTAGTCCTGTTCTTAAACTCTTTCCTGGGCACCTGTCCACTGTTGCCTTCTGATAGACACAGCCCAGGCAGATCTTTCTACTGTTCTTTTGATCCTGTCTAGCCTTTGTTAATGGAGGGACTGGGCTGATGGGCTGATCTGTGACCATTTCCCCTGCCTTCAGCAGAAAACTTGGAGGTTGTATCTGTTATTTGCTCAGCAGATGCTCTGTGGTAAGTGGTGCAACTGAAGCCCATTGTGATTGTGGCTATACCTCTTGATTCAACAATGGCATGTAGTGGAAAATACCCATATATATTACATTCCTCCAGTATCATCTGAGGCTGTAGTATGATATCCTGCTATACAGGACAATTGCTTCAGAAAGCTGTCTCTTCATGTAAAAGCAAAGACCAGGGCAGGTCGTAGCCTGAGAGGATTGGCTTTTGCTCTAGGCTACTGCTAAGAGCTGTTAAATGTGAGAGCCAGTGTGTTATATTTTTGTCCTCTCTGCATCCCACTTCTCCCTCAGCCAAATTCCTGTTTTGATGTTTACGGCATTTTCCAGGTCAGGAGTGTAAAGTACAAAGTTAGAGTTCAAGTCTCAATGTTTTCTTCATCACAGACCATAAGAGAGAGTACTGGTGGCTTCTCTTTAGTCTTTGCCCTTTGTGAGGCCTTTGCTGTTTGTTTGTTTGGGTTGATTGTGGTTTTTAAAAATTTCTTGAGCATCCATATTTCTCTATTAAACACTGGGGAAGATTTGGGTTCCCCCAAACATTTAAACACTACTTGAATTACTTGGGGTGTGAGGTGATGCTTCTCTTTCAGCAACAGTTAGACTTTTTTTTTTTTTTTTTTCCCTCCCTCCCCTATGCGATCCAGCACCGTGTAGAAATAGCCAGCTTTGAGCAAGCAAGTCTCTGTGCAGGATAAACTGTCTGTCAGGCATTGTCATGGGCTTGTGTTGGTCCTGTGCCTGCTGTGTGAAACAGCAGTGGAGGTGCAATGCAGTTTGACCTCAGCAGAGAGGTGATTCGATAACAGGTGTAAGCTTCTCTTCCATGGGGAGGGCACTTGTAAGCTTAGCTCTTCAGGCAGGCAGACAGTGGCAAGCTGGAAGGCAGAAATCAGAGTGGAGGTGCAAATTTAAGGTAGAAATGAGGTGTCTGTCTACCACAGCTGCTACTGTTGTAACAAGCTGCAATGCAAAACCTAAATCACAGTATCTGGATCATGTGTTTTTAGAAAGGACTTAGTTTTGGCACATTGTAAACTAGGGATTTAATGCAGAAGTGAGCCAACAGAGGCTCTAATGCTCTTCGGACAGTATCAGAATGATTGCCCTAGTCTTCTTTAGCTTAAAGCTCATTCCCTTCCCAAATGACTTCTGTAAAAATGAAGTGGGTGAGACCATGTGATGTGCACATGGTAAAACCAGCAGTTTGCACAAGTCAAGTTTTTCTGCCCTTGGCTGAACTTTGTTGGCTGTGATCCTCAAAGAACTAGCAACATCCGTAAATCCAGTTCTCCCCAGCAGCCAGAAACATCCCCTTTGCCACCCCTCTAGAGACATTGTACTCAAGCCTCTGGTGAAAAGCTAATTAAAGCCAGGGCATGCCAAAGCTAGCACTGTGGTGTTTTTTCTTTGTTGCTCCTCAGTGTATGATCTACATGCCTTTGCTTGCTTCCAGGAATTGGGCTGGCCTTGGCTGCAGCAGTGAAGGGTTACCGCTGTATAATTGTGATGCCAGAGAAAATGAGCATGGAAAAGGTGAGATCTAGTTTTATTTAAAAAATAAAAATAAGCATGTTTGCACTTGCAGAGTTCCTGGTGCAGATGAGCGCCGTGGCTTTAGCAACCAAGATGTGAGCTTTTGGTGTCCAAGTCATTGGCCAGGCAGAACTCTGCTGAGGGGCTGTTGCCAGTGCCCAGAGAAATCTAGGCTGGCTAGCTATGGTCAGAAAATGTCTCTAAGACCCATTCTCACAGCATTTTCACTTGGAAAACAGTCATAACTGTTTTAAATACAAATGTCAAAGGAACCTGAGATTGCAGTCACTACCTGTCCCTGGGTTGACTGTCTCTCACTGAGCAAAGGAGGACAAACAACAGCAATGCTGAAGCTTTGAATGTTTTTGTGCTCTGCGCCGGGCTGAGCAAGGCTGTGAAGGAGACTGTTAAGCTCTTCAAGTTACACTGGGCCATATGGGCAATCATCTGACTTGTGTCACTACAGCATCAAAGGAGAAGGAAAAGCCACCTGAGTAACATCCACTTACCTTCATTGTAGAAAGCACAAAGCATCTAGCTCTAGAGCAAGCCCTGTCCTGTAGTGCTGCACCTGCAGCCAGAAGAAGAGAGTAAAGAGGAGATCCCATATTTCGCAGTTGCTGACAGCAAAACCGCTTGTCTCAGTTCAAACACTTTCAGTGACACAAATGAGAACATCCCCTGAAGGCCTATACCAGTTGCTTGCTCTTACCTTCACTGGAAGGAGAGGTATTGCATGCCTGTTGCCATGTGCCGTGCAGTACCAGAGGCCTCCCTCTCTTTGCCTTAGCTCAGTGTCATAAAATTTCTTGTCCTTGTAGCAGCTGAATGGTGTGTAGGAAACATCTCCTTTGCTGCCAGTGTCCAAAGGAGGAGGTAAATGTATGTAATTTGCACTGAAAAAGAAATAATTTCTGGGCTGTAGCACTGTTGGAGTGCAGAATGTATGTGACTGCCATGAGATGGTGTTTTGCCTGAATGAGGCTTCTCAATATGTATTAACAGTCCCTACAGGCTTGAAGGCCTAGGATAGAAACAGGACTCTGACATTTAGCTCCCAAGTAAAGTTTAGATAAGACCACATGACATTAAGGATCTGGACTTACGGCTCAGTGATGTGAGGCTGGGGTTTAAGAGAACTGCTAAGGAGGCTGTTGCAGACCAGGTAAAAGGGATGATGTTTTATTTCCCTTGCATCCTAATGAAGTCTGTATGCTGGAAGAGTGTTTGGGGATTTTGCGACTGCCTTTATTTGCTACAGGTGGATGTCCTGCGGGCTCTGGGTGCTGAGATTGTGAGGACCCCAACTACTGCCAGATTCGATTCTCCTGAATCTCACGTGGGAGTAGCATGGAGACTGAAAAACGAAATCCCTAACGCACACATACTAGATCAGGTAAGAGCCAAGGTGTCAGAGCTGCAGGCATAGTATGGGAGGAGGTATTGCAGCCTTGTTCCTTAGTGTCAATGGTTGACTGTTCAACGCCCTGCTGTGTCTCTGGAGGAAAAGATGTCCCAGGTAGTGGTTGAACAATCACCGTGCTGTAGGGTAGCAAGTTTTTCTTGTCACTAGAGGGCAGCAACGAGCCTGTGCTTGCAGACTGAACAACGTATGGGTGACTGCTTCCACTGAATTGGCAGTCGTGTGTGGAGGAGTACATGCAAGGGTCATGTTCATAACAGAAACAGTCCCACAAACAGAGCTGGTCTTGGCATTGGAGGGTGCTGGCACCTTAGAACTACTCTTAAGTTAGGTTGCTTAGGAAGGTTATATCTCCCATTGGGCATTTTGCCTAGGTCCAGATAATAGATAAGGAAATAGTCTGGAAAGAGCATCTGTGGCTTCGAGAATGTTTGTCATGCTCTTGAAATGTGACATTTGTCTTTCTGGTCTACTTAACGGCTATTTTGTCTTTTAATATAGTATCGTAATGCCAGCAACCCCCTGACGCACTATGACACTACAGCTGAAGAGATCCTGCAGCAGTGTGAGGGTACGTTTGATCTACTGCTGACCCCCTCTTTGAGTCGCGAGTATTCTCTTATTGTTAGGTACTTGGAGAATGGGACCTGAGGTGCTTGAGGAACACATGGGTTTTGATACAGCAAATCACATACATATGCTGTGTGTCATTAAATTTTCTATTCACTATTTCAGTAGTTGTACTAATGAATTATTTTTTTGCTGTTAGAGAGGGATGCCTTGGTTTTCAAACTTCTCTGCTTGTGGTAGAGAAGGCACTGATGCTCAAGTTGTCTTTTAAAGAACAAGAAAAACAAAAACAAAACCATAGCTAGAGTGACATGAAAGAACAGTCTTTTTCTCTGACCACGGGTAGAGAAATAGGCATTTTTATATTCTCAGAACAAATAGTCCATTACATTACACATGAAGCTTCTTCAGTTAGGAGTCCTCAGGAGTACCAGTCTGTGTTGCAGTGATCAGCAGTAAGACCCTTTTACTCTGCAGTGGTCACTTCCGTGTTAGCTCTAGGCAGCTGAGTTGGAGTACCAGAAGTGATTGAGCTGTGGCAGCAGAGAGCTTTAGCTATGCTAACTCACCCAGCTGAGGAATCGATTTGAGAGCTACTGGAGGCACTCAGTGTGCAGCCTGCCATAAGGGTATTTGCTATAGATGGTGAAAGAAATTATATAGGAGGCTACTGACCTGCCATATAAAACAGTACAGTTTCTGATGGGGCCCTCTAATAAGAAAGCAGTTATTAAATTACTTCTCAAAAAGTAACTGAAGTTGTTCAGAGTATTTGGTTTGTCTTTGTGCAAACTTTATCTAAGTTTGAATTAAAATGAGTGCACTTTAACAAACTGCCATCCCACAAACTGATAGTCTAGATAAGTTCTAGCTTTAGGCTTCTTATTTGTATTTACTTTTCCTCATAGGTCAGGCATTGCTTAGTTATTACTGAGCTTATACCCCTGCTTGGTGGGGTGTTATTCTTTTGACTGGTAAGCATTTGTTTTTGTATGTGATTTGATGACCTTTTAAAATGTTTGGTTGTTTGTTTATTAACAAAGCCATCATGTGGATCCACCATGTAAACTGTAGAGGGTGCCAGAAGAATGAACTATCACACCTGCACTCATTCTGAGTGCTCATGACGAGAACAGTGTTTTTCACATGAAAATGAGAGAACAGTTGTGTTAACAGTTCTCTTGATGAATACGTATCTCATGCTCTTGGCACTCATTCAGTAAATTAACTAATATAACGAACTGATCATTCTAAGTTAAAGAATTGAATTATCTACATCAGCAAATGCAATAACAGAAAAACTACAGGTGTCAGCTGTATGGGCCACCTCCAGCCCTGTTCAAAGCACCAGAAATTGGTGCCTTGCCAGGCCACTGGATGGACATTTCAAAACCACTGTTGGAGTAAATGAGATTGAGCAAGGTGGTCTCAAGGTAGGTCTTGTAACACAGCTCTTGGAAAACAAAGAGCCCTATCTTGCCCATTTTTGTTGAAGAAAGTCCATGCTTAGGTTTGAGTCATTTTTTTAATCCCATTAATCTAGGGCAGATTTCACAACTGCCTTCTGTCCTTTACCTTTAAACAGGAAAAATAGACATGCTGGTGGCTACAGCTGGCACAGGAGGTACTATCACTGGCATCTCCAGAAAGCTAAAAGAGAAGTGTCCAGGTTGCAAAGTAAGTGGCAAGCCTAAAGCATTTCTCTTCATCAGGATGAATCACAGACTGCTCCACCTGGCATGTCCCATTCCTTGCAAGTCTGCCCTGGGTCTTTGCGGGAAGCTCTAGCATGTTCTCAGTTAGAACGTACTTCTAAGTGGCTCAGCAGAAACTGGCCCTCAGATCCCTTCATGGGCTGTCTGAGAAACTTCCTTCTCTGATGTGTACTGCAGCCTTGTGTTTCTTCTCTGACTGTGCCTTCACTAACTTGCCAGGAGCTGCTGAGGTTTTACCCAGTGAAACTTTCCCAGCATGCGGCAACCTGTGTGTGTACTTGTGTGCTGTGTCATGTTTCCTCACAGAAGCTGGTATCATGTTTCAATTGTGAATATCTTCCTATACAGACAGGGAGTGGTAAACAAAATTTACTTACACTTGGCACAAAATGTCTTGACTGTAATGATGCCTGACATGTGAATGAGGACAATCTTCCCTCAGGGAAACCTCATCTTCTGTTTAAACTATGCAAAACCCGTATAGAACAAGTGGTGCCCCTCACTTAGTGTTTGAAGCCTGAGGAGACAGGATAGATTGCCAAGGTGCCAGAAACAGAAGAGCATTTTGCTCACAGGGGAGGTGAATGTTGCCAGGAAGAAATGAATAGGAGACTAGTTTGCTGTTAGCTTGGCTGGCTGTGCAGCCAGTGTGACACCAACAGTTGTAATGAGGCCAGCACTCCTGAGTGTATAGCTGTGTTCTCAGAAACAGCCTGTTACGATAGCTGAAGTGGAAAATGCTTCTCCAGATTATAGGTGTTGATCCTGAAGGCTCCATCCTTGCTGCACCAGAAGAACTGAACAAGACTGACAAGACAATGTATGAAGTGGAAGGAATCGGATATGATTTTGTCCCCACAGTGTTGGATAGATCTGTAAGTCACGCTTCTTGGTTTACTGTCCTTTGCCCCCTGCTGGGGTGCAGAATTGAGGTAAAAGGTAGACAAAGAACTTGGAAGTATTTCTTTTGAGCTGATAGGGCTAGCAGACAGAACTATTCCTGTTCTTGCCACCAGCAAAAGCAATCCTCAGAAGACTTCTGCACAGGCCAGGTTTGTTTTACAATGCTAGGTGGAAATGCTGTGAGCAGATAACATTTTCCTAGAACACAGTACTTTCTTCTTTTTTTTTTTGATTGGTTTGGTGTTGATTAAAAAAAGAAACTCACCAAAACCCCCCAACAACACCCTGGCTAGAAGTGATATGACTGTCCTGAGCAGAGCCTGTTTTTCTGGGAAGCCTTCCAAGAGGGGAGGAAACTGATGCTCTCTGTGGCTCTCACAACAACTTTTTCTCACAGTGAGGTTTCCATAAGGAGCCTGTTGTGCTGATGTGATCATCTTACCTTGGCAAAAAAAAAAAAAACTGAACACTTGGCATTTGGAGGATGGAAACCCAGGCAGCTCAGTAGGGCAGCTGTTGCCTCAGCAGAGCATGGGTTGAATTCACACTAGGTGTGTAGCTCCCTTAGCCGTCCTCATTTAAAGAGACCCTTGTTTCTTTCTCCCTGCCCCTTCCCAGACAGTGGACCAGTGGTACAAGAGCAATGATGAGGAGTCGTTTGCTATAGCACGCATGCTGATCCGAGAGGAAGGGCTGCTGTGTGGTAAGAGCAGAGGCGAATCCTTCGGGCTTCTCTTAAATAGTATGTGAGAGACCGAACCCTTCTGCAAGTGGGGAGACCTCCTTCCATTTCAGAAGCTGTCTTCCTCACCTTAGGCTTCTATGTGGCCTTTCCACCTCTGTCATTCTTTCTCATTTTTCAAGCTTAAACAAGGTAGGTTTAGACTAGACACTAGGAAGAAGTTCTTCACAGAAAGTGTTGTGGGATATTGGAACAGACTGCCTAGGGAGGTGGTTGAGTCGCCATCCCTGGATGTGTTTAAGCATCGCTTGGATGTGATGTTGTGTGATATAGTCTAGGGATGAACTTGCAAGTAGGGTTAATGGTTGGACTCGATGATCCCAAGGGTCTTTTCCAACCTGGATGATTCTGTGATTCTGTGATTTCACTTACAGTTTGACAGTTTTCCCTCTGATCTGCATTTTGGCAGGTGGCAGCTCAGGCAGTGCCATGTCTGTAGCTCTGAAGGCAGCCAAAGAGCTGAAGGAAGGTCAGCGTTGTGTTGTTATCCTGCCTGACTCCATCAGGAACTACATGTAAGAAAGTGTTGTGTTTTGTGTTTTTTTTTTTCTCTCTGGGAAAAGGGTGAGGCAGTCCCTTGGACCTCCTTACAGCAGCGACGACTTAAATACATATTTCTTATAGCAACTGGTTGTCAAAGCAAGAAATGTGTGTTGGGGCACAACTTCTGAGGTGTCTGGAAATTGTCTGATACGGAGTAGAAGGGAGCTTAGCCCCTCTGAAAGCTGAGCTTCTCCTTGTGTCCGACTTCACTAGCTAACCATGCATGGTTAGCATCTTTCACAGGAAAAGATTTGCTTCCACAGATTTATTTATTTGGGACCATTGGTGTTATCCCATTCCTGGAAGGTGCCCTGTAAGGCTGGCCTACTCTCTCTGCCTGTGTCCACAGCAGAAAACAGCAGTACTGTAGCAGAAGCCAGTGTTGGGGTGGGTTTATGGATGGAACCCTGAGGGCTTTGAGCTGTGTTGAGAAGCTTCTGTCCTACCACACTGAAACATATCCCAAACTATGGTGTTTTTAGCTGTGGTTCCTGACTTGTTTTGCGTCGGACGCAATACTAGATGACTAGAAACTGTTAACAGACCTTGCCTGAGTATGGATTTGCGCTTCTTCATTCTAGGCTGCCCCTACATCATGTTGTAACGGACTGATGTATTGAAACTTTGTTTCCTATGAGATTCTTTTTTCTTCCTAGGAGTTATTTCTTCTCAGTGTCCCTGGCTGGTAAGCTTGGATGGCAAACAACATTATATTTTTAATTACACTTTAGTTGTTAGTGGTAAACTGTTAGAACTGTAAACAGTTGCCTCTGTGTGCTGTTAGATTTACTGTCAGATGTTCAGCCTGCTAATGAGCTTTTCACTTTCTGATGCTTTCCAGGTCCAAGTTCTTGAGTGACAAATGGATGATTCAGAAGGGGTTCATGAAGGAAGAAGATCTTGGCAAAAAACCTTGGTAAGTATGTCAGATCCATTTGGATATTCATGAGTCTATTCAATCAACTTTACGGCAGTTTTTAATTTAAAGCTTACTTCCTTTGATTTGGCTAATCTTTCATACTGTTGTGTTGATTCATAATTGCAGCTATTAATCAAATCTGCTTAGATTAGTTTATTTCCTTCTTTCAGTTGTGTAGCAGCAGAAGAAATCTTTGCACTTAATGAATTTTTTTTTAATTTTTATTTTCTTATGAAAAGGGTTGTATTTGATCTCAGAGGGATTCTCTGTATACTACTTCCATTTCAAAGTTATCAAATGCAAATCACTGTAAATGCTCTTCCTTAAATTGCTACTGATAATGACTGTAAATATGGCTAACTCTGAGTAGGAGCACAAAATTTTCTGTGTAAAATATAAATAATGAAGCTAGGGAGATCAGTACTCTCCACTAACTATCTGTAATCCTAGAAAGTAGGGGAAATGAGGAAGTGAGTTTCAATCTTAAAGCCTTCTCAGATTTCAGTGACTTTGTGATGCTGGGGAGAAAACTTAAAAGCTTTGAAGCTTTACTGACTCTGGCTGAATCCTTGCTCTTCCTTGCAGCCTTTTGTCATTCCTGTAGTGCTGAAGGCCACTGTATACAAACAACTAGTTCTGTTCTCTCTGTAAGACTTGCATGAGTTTGTTTTATTGTTTCATTCCCAGGTGGTGGAACATCAGTGTTCAGGAGCTCAGTCTCTCGGCTCCTCTGACTGTGCTTCCAACTGTTACCTGCGCAAAGACTGTTGAAATTCTCCGGGAGAAGGGATTCGACCAGGTACCAGTTGTTGATGAATCTGGGTATGTCCACATATATCACTATTAATCCATATGTATTGTTTCCTTCACCAGGTCCTTTCAATGCTTACTAGAAGTATAGTATCCTCTTGCTTCTCTTTCTTCATTTATAATAACACACTTCAGAAATGTTACCATAGGCACATCAATGCTGGACTTAATATGTTGTCGTGCTGGGATTTTCCTGCCCTTCACATAATAAGCTTCTAACAGTTAGTGTAACACACTTGCTCAGTGTGTCTCTGCAGGATAACTTTGTTGGGTTTTTTATAATAGCTGTTTAACAAAGCAAAAAAATCATATCTGAAAAACAACCAACCTCAAACATGCCAATCTCCAGCACAGCTTTCACCTAGTTTCTTCAGAACCCTGCGTTACAGTGCAGTGGTGTAGTGACCCTTATTGCCCTGTAGCTCTATGGTAGGATGGGCTGAACAATGAAGAGTTCATAGAACGGCCTAGGCTGGAAGGCACCTTAGAGATAATTTAATCCAACCTCCCTGTCATGGGCAGGGTTGCTCAGTTACTCTCGATTACGGTGCTTACTCGAGGGGCTAATTGTTGTGGATCCTTGTAGGGAGAAGGGGAATGAGCCAAATTGAGGTGAACATGTCCCTGGCCATCAAACTTTTCAAAAGGACAGATGAGAGCATAAAACAATGAAGTTGTGCTTTTCAGAAGCCTTCTTGGTTTGCAACAAGCTCTCCAGTTGCAAGGACTAGAGATGGATAACTTGGAAGGGCCAGGCTGACCTCTGTGTGAGTCTTCCAGAACTTCTGAGAACTGGAGTTTGTCACCTGCAGAGACACAGAATCTGAGTATACCATCAATAGTGTTGCTTTATACCATGAAGCATCTGAACTTCTCCAGGCTGGCTGAGAAGGGATCCTTTTATCTACAGGAACACCTGAGGCTTTTCACAGAATCACAGAATGTCAGGGGTTGGAAGAGACCTCAAAAGATCATCTAGTCCAGCCCCCCTGCCAGAGCAGGATCACCTACAGTAGGTCACACAGGAATGCGTCCAGACAATTTTTGAATGTCTCCAGAGAAGGAGACTCCACAACCTCCCTGGGCAGCCTGTGCCAGTGCTCTGTCACCCTCACAGTGAAAAAGTTTTTTCTAATATTTTTGTTTTGTGTTGTTTAGTCTTACCTTCTCTCTTCCCTTCCTCAGGGTAATTTTGGGCATGGTGACCCTGGGTAACATGCTTTCTTCACTGCTTGCTGGAAAAGTTCAGCCTTCTGATGAAGTCAGCAAAGTAATCTACAAGCAATTTAAACAGGTAAGCAGGTATATTTTTACAGCTCCTGGTCCTCTGGTTTAAAGTCCTACTGTAGATGTCCTAACACTGTAGTGGCATCAGCTTGGGTAAGGTTACCTGGGACCATACAGAGCAGCTGCTACTGAGCACAGATGTGCCCTAAACTCTGTCCTAGGTCACTCAGCAGCTCCCAGGTTTGTGTTGTGACTCTGTATTGTGCTGTTCCATTACTTCAGTAGGCTTTCTTCTAGTATGCTCGTCCTTTCCTTGTTCCCCCAAAACCTTAGCCCAAATCAGGGCAATGTAACCATTTAGAGGAAGAAACGGGAAGATATTGAAAGAGCTCATCTAAGTAATTTCTGTATCCGCTGAAAAGAAGCTGTGCATTTGTGTCAGATGCCTTGCTAAAACAGGGGGATGGCTGCTGAAAGTTGATGTTGTCAAGATATGTGAATTTTGATGTTGGCCAGTTTTACCTGGCTGTCCAACTAGTGTGCCAGGATACCATAACTTCCCAGCTGTATGGGTGCTCTTCTAAAATAAATAAGTATTGTTGCTGTTGCTTTGCTTCTCTTGCAGGAAGAGGATTTTGTTTTTTAACATGGAATACTTGACTTAGTTTTCACCAGGCTTTTAGTTTCAAAACTGTCTCATAGTAGATGAGGTGCTGTATTCCAGAAGTATGTGTAATGCTTCCACTCAGTCTGTGAACTACCAAGTGCCTGAGGTTGAGAAGGGATACTAGTTTGTTATGGACACTTGTAAATATACTTTTTCCTTCCCAGACAGATAATCAAGCATCAGGTGGAAATGTGGTGCGTAACAAAACTGCTTAGTTCTTCATGTTCTCCCTCACTTGGACACCTTAAGAGTTTCTGGGGCTGGTGGTGTGCAATCATTTCTGTAGCTACACTGGTGTTAGCTGTAGTAGCCAAGTCTTTGTGCTTCTGAGGTTGTGGGTTTTTTCCATGGGCAGCTTGAAGTGTCTCATGTCTCTTCAGTAAAGAACAGCTTAACTGTTTCTTTTATCTTTAGTTCTGACTTTTTTTTTTTTTTTGGTGGAGGATGGGAGTGGCACAGAAGTGGTGGTATTGCTAACGTGCTAAAAGTATTGTTCGTTGGTTTTGGTTTTTTTCCATTTTAATTGAGGATTTAAAGAAGAAACATGGTTAAATGCACATAACCTCAGAAGTATTGTGGATTTTCCTTTTCTTACCATTTTAGTCACGCTTATTTGGCCTATTTACTGGTGAAATTGAGAGAATGGATCATCGATGCCACTTAAATGACTTAGATTATCCTACAGTTAGCATCTGTACTGCACCATGCATCAATAAGAGGTCATCTTAGCCTGTGACTACTAAGGCAGCTATCTTTTGGCAGCACAGGAAGTGGGTTTTTGGTAGGATCACCACAAAATAATTGTGGTGATCCCTTTGAATGGATGAGCGATGGTTATAGTGTTTTTCTTAAGTCTCTAGCAGGATAGTACTCTGGGGCTTTGAAATACTAGATGATTTGCTAATCCAAACAAGTGTCCTGTGTTAGTGGAGGGGAGGGCCATTCTTGTGGAGTCAGATGTTAGTTCCAGTGGTCTGGGGTCTCTTTACCCCTTCTTCCCCAAGGGATCCTCGAATCAACTACTAACATCTGTTAGATGTGGTGCAGACATAGCCTTAGCAGATTTCTTGTCTGCCTTAACCAGCAAATAGAGTTTGGGCATCCTTTATGAGACTGACTTTTACTATACCTTGTGTCTAATTGTTAGTCTGTTCCCTGGTGTGATTTTGGTTTGTGTCCTAACCCATTTAGAACTCTTGTAAACAATGCAAGGCGTGGTGTCCCCAAACTTACTTCTGGGGACTGGAGTTGCAGGGCCATGAGCAGTGCCCTGCCACCTGCCCTCAGCCAAACAAGCAGTCTCAGTCATCTGTAGTGTAGTAGCATGTGCATAGGCTAATTGCCTTAAAGACTTTTACAAAGTTTGAACAAAATGCCTACATGTGGGAAGATTCATGGGCACGTTTCTTTTTTAGGGAGCTTGAACAAATAGTAGTGAGACAGGTGAAAACTCTGTGGGAGTTCTGTTCAATTTTCATTAAGCATTTCAAAGTGTTTATGTCTACATAGTTGCCCCAGGCCTGCCTATAGGCTGCTTGTTCTGGTTGTCTTTAGCCTACCCAGTCTCTGAAAATGTGTCTGTTGATTGAATGGCAAGGGGCTCTACTCCTTCGGTGACCTTTGAACTTGCTTACAAAAGGTAGACTTTGCATGTACATTTGCACGAAACTGCTTGTCAGTGGTGGTGACTGATATTTGACTCGATGTGGCAGTAGGTCCAGATTTTCGCCCCTACCCCTTGCCTGGCCCACAAGCTGAAGGATTGGTATTTCAGTAGGCACTAGGGCCTGCTGGTCCCTTCAACACAGGCTGCTGGGAATCCTTTTGATCTCTTCTAACTCACAGGGTGGAGACAAGGGCTCTGTGTTGGAGCGCAGCCCAACTGTTCACACTGTGGCATTTATTCTTCGATCACAAGCTGAGCTCGCTGCAGGATAAAGACATATTAGTCCGCAGTGCAAAACTTGTTTCATGAAGATTCCTTTAATCAAAATATATCAGATGGTGGGTGTTACCTGGGGAGAGTCACTTGGGTAATAGACCTCTTGCTGCTGCTTAATATGTGAAAGCATGTAGGAAGAACAGTTTATGTGTTGTTTCAAATGGTTTCAGCAGGTACTTTCCTGAGTGTTTTAGAAGAATCTGTATTCTTTCTGCAGAGTCAACACAGGGTGCTTTCTTGTTTAGCCTTAGTAGAGTTGAACTTCAGTAAAAATGAATTCTTAATTCTCAGTTCCTTGATTTGCACTTGAATGCAGTGTTAGCTGACCGATTTTAACCTCAGTTTTGTTTTTTGGCTTGTTTGGGCTTTTCTTTTCCCTTATTGCCTTTGCAGATCATATTCACTTCCACAATGATTTGTGGCCTGATTCATTCACTTTTTCCTAGTCTCGCTATAGTAAAATCAACAAGTATAATGAGTTTTATGGTAACTTCTTTTGTTAGGCACATGGAACACTTGATCTTTTTCCGTCATTAATCTTTCAGACACTCAGTATATTCAATATATTCATTATATTTACAGAATCAAAATAAGTAACTTCATGTGGTGCTTTGTTTTTTCTGTTTTCTTGGAAACTAAAAAAAATTTGGTTTTGTTGTTTCAAGTTGGCCTTGATGTGTTAGTGTTTTACAATACTTCAGATGGGAGTGGCATGTAAAAGCTGATGTGTGGCTTTTAGTACTTGCACAAGGTATATGAGGATTGTTGACCACCACATGTGTAAAGGACTGTTATATTTAAGTTTTGTAACTCTCTCCTCAGATTAACCTGAAAGACAACTTGGGGAAACTCTCTCTTATCCTGGAAATAGATCACTTTGCTCTAGTGGTTCATGAGCAAATTCAATGTGAGTATGATGTCACTTGTACGAGGTAATCTTTTGAGTGGTAACAAGAAACAAGTACAAGTGTGAGCGTCTAAACAAATTTTGAAGAAGTCCGTTCCTCTTTCTATGTGTGTAACTATGTGTTAGTAACACTTAGGAAGACACTAATACTGTAATTCTTGTGGAGTCAATGTTAAATCCATTAAGAACCTCACATACTGTAATGTACCTGGTTTTGAAGCAAATTACTTCAGAGAACTGAATGTCAGAATCTAGCCCTCTGTCCAGAGGCTTTCTTAGTAGCAGGAAGCTCCTTCAGTAAAACTGATACTTGATTCTTCCTACTTCTTTATGAACTGAAAATGACTAAATAAATCTTCAGAGCTAGGGTATGTCACTGTTATATATGAATGATTTTTCCTTCTTCATCTTCCTTCCAAGCAAGCAACTTGCAAAATTACAAACACTGAGAAACTAGACTAAAAACAATATTAAAACTCACCAGATAAATTTATCTGACAGCTATCTCAGTTGTCACAGTAAATAAATAGTCCTCAAACTTGGATTTGTTCCTGGTAATCCCAGAATGTTAAGGATTGGAAGGGACTTCAAAAGATCATCCAGTCCAACCTCCCTGCCAAAGCAGGATCACCTAGAGTAGGTCACACAAGAACAAGTCCAGATGGGTTTTGAAAGTCTCCAGAGAAGGAGACTCCACAACCTCCCTGGGCAGCCTGTGCCAGGGCTCTGTCACCCTCACAGTGAAAAAGTTTTTCCTAATATTTTTGTGGAACTTCCTATGCTCCAGCTTGCACCTGTTGACCATTGTCCTGTCATTAGACATCACTGAGAAGAGCTGGAGTCTGTCCTCCTGACACTCACCCTTTATATATTTATGAACATTAAGGAGGGCACCCCTCAGCCTCCTCTTCTCCAAGCTAAAGAGACCCAACTCCTTCAGCCTTTCCTCATAAGGGAGACGTTCCACTCCCTTCATCATCTCTGTGGCTCTGCGCTGGACTCTCTCAAGCAGTTCCCTGTCTCTCTTGAGCTGAGGGGCCCAGAACTGGACACAATATTCCAGATTTGGCCTCACCAGGGCAGAGCAGAGAGGGAGGAGAATCTCCTTCAACCTACTAGCCACCCCTGCTTCTAATACAGCCCAGGATGCCATTGGCCTTCTTGGCCACGAGGGCACGTTGCTGGCTCATGGTCATCCTGCTGTCCACCAGAACCCCCAGGTCCCTTTCTCCTACGCTGCTCTCCAACAGGTCAGTACTGGCACATGGGGTTATTCTTTCCCAGGTGCAAGACCCTACACTTGTTGTATTTCATAAAATTTCTCCCCACCCAACTCTGCAGCCTCTCTAGGTCTCTCTGAATGGCAGCACAGCCTTCTGGTGTGTCA